AGAATCTGGGAAAGAGAAGATTAATTCTGAAAATCGTTCTCCCCGGAGATCTTTCGGGGTCTGTCCCTTCCTGTGTTCGGAGAGAGCTGGTGAACTTTCTGTTCGCGATGCTCCTGGGAGGAGTGCCGGACAGCTGATAACGATAAGGAAACCGCGGACCGCGTTTACAATCGTATTCATAAGAGACACGTGGGTCTGGCATAAAAACGTGACTGAATCCACGAGGTTGCCCACGGCATTGTGCGATTTAATCTATTTCATTTGAAACCCGCACGTCTCTCTTTCTCTTAAATAAGTATCTGCGACGTCAAATAAATTAACGTGGCATCAGTTTCATATTTTTAGTTATATCATAATTGTAAAAAAATTCCATCAATATCTAATTTCTTAATTGTCTGATAATATTGCGATAAAAATGGTGTTATATTTTACATGCGAGGTATGAATTGTAAATATAACTTAAATCTATTTAATTTGTACTGCAAATATTTTATTTTGCGTGTTAAATAAGAAATATTGATATAAACTTTTATATATATTTGTTATGTATATCTATTTATCTTTCAAAATTTATTTTAGTTATTTATTCACAATTAATTTTTTTTTGTAGAATAATTTATGCTTCCTTGTTAATTAAATCGAAACTCTTGTGCATTGTATTATTTGCATTTCACTACCCTTCATTTATGTCAATTAATTTCATTTTTACATTGTATCTGTAATAGATTTGAGTGCAAACTTGTTATACATATATATTATATATAATTTTTGCAACAGAACTTGATTTACAATTCTGATGAACAATTCGATGGTTAATAACGCGAAATAAAAAGATCTATTTACTATGCACTATGTATTTGATTACATACCGTTGCTTTTTCACTGCGCGAGATTTTGCCGCGATATTTTCCGCGTTATTTTCGTTGGATTCATCGATGAAGTTGTCGTGCAGCACGATTGCTATTCCGTCGCACTTCTCCCTCTCGGAAAAACGGGAAAATTTACAGAAGCGTATTTTTTTTATTCCATTTTAATAATTCCCGCCTATCGTTTTTTCACCTTTTTATTTTTTATTTTTTAATTATCATATTTTTCAAATCGCGAAATGTCAAAACAGTTTAGATTCACGCATTTTAAATTACTTTTGCGGAAAGAAGCGAAATTCAGAGTCGTGTTATTTTTTTCTAACTTTGTAATCCAAAAGTTACAATCTCAGAGAAACGGAACGTTAATCTTTGTCCCCTCTTTTTATCCTTCGAAATTTTAATCGGCGAAAGGCGCTTAACAACCAAGTCCCTTCGCGTACGTTTTCGCGAATGTGGCTTTAATCGGTAACTCTATCTCACGAGTCGCACGACGGAGAGGAAACTTTTCGATCCTGCGGAATATACAGGAACGTCAACGGGGCGCGACCCTGTGATCCTTCGGGATCTACCGAGGTATACTGAGTTTCGGAGGATTACTAAAGCTGCAAAGGATTACCCCAGCATCTGGAGAAATGGCTGATGTGACTTAACGCGACACCGAGACCTTCCACCTAGCTTTCAGATGTTGAGACAGATTTCAATATTTAATTATCGAGCTCTTCTTTCTAAACTACTTTTTCCCTCCATCTTTCTCTTATTTCTAATACATAAAAAATTATGTATACGTGAAATAAGAATTCACCGAAAGTTTACTCTATGATTTTAAAAATCACTACTTTAAAGCCCCATCATATTTTATATGTCAAATATATATAAATGTGATATAAATAAATGACTAAAGAAAAGATCTTTTATAAATGTTAACACAAAACAAACTGTCAAAACCTAATGTAGATATATTGAAATTAAATCTAATATTATATTAACGTGATAAATAAATGATTTTAAATCTCTGATTAATTTTCTCTTAACATTCACAGCATATAGTATATTAAAAAAAATATATGCATTAAATATACGCGATATTGATCGCAAAATACAATCGAATTGCACGATATACGCTCGTGAATTCTCCACGACGAGACTGCAACTTGTGACCGTTTTTCCCCAACACGCGTCACGTAATCCAACAACTTGACAGGGCAGCGCGTTCGACCGCTTTTCGAAATCGGAAAAAGAGACCATGAGAATCGAAATCGACAAATATTGTCGTCACGTACCGCGCCGGCGATAAGTCGCGCTCGTTCGGGCCGTCCCTTTCTCGCTCTCTCAGGAGAGACGTCCACGAAAATGCGGGGTCCGCGAGAACGATGGGATTTTGCCGAGGTACGGGCTTCAATGAGCCTCGCGTGTTCTCCCGGTCATTCGTCGGGAACGTGAGTAAATATTGATGCGCGGGATCCGATCCTGCGTTCAGGATGAACTGAAGCTGTGGATGCCAATTGCGTTCGCCGTATATACACAAACCAATACTGTACACGGTTTTATGACTCTATACAGCGTGGCCAAGATATCTCGCATTTTTTAAAACATCATTTGGAAGCGACTTCACGTGCTCGTTGATGAAAATGTCAACATTTAAATGAAATTGACTATCCAAAAATTCTTTATTGGATCGCAGATCTTATTGAATTGAAATTAGATGTCAATTTAAAGATTTTTTGTAGAATTAAGTTTTACATTTAATAATTAATAGATATGCTTTGCAGCGGTGAAAAAAGGAAATCGAATCAAACTATGAAAAAGTATTTTTATTATAAAAATTAAAAATTTTATTTAATGGCAGAGATAATTATATTTGATTTATTAATTAAATATATTGTATTCTATTATCTTAGATAATGTAATGTTTATGCATAATGGAACGGATTTTGACAATTTAAGAATCATTCATGACTAGTTTTTCGTATCTAGTATGAGAACGACATATTTTGCATTCTTAAAGAATTCCAAAAATATACTGGAAATTTTTGAGTACATAGCATAGAATATTTAAATTATTCAAATTTCTCCCCCAAGGATGGATATTTTCCGCGTCGCTTGGGGCAAAAACCGATGGCAATGACGGCTGACTGATGGAATGCGAAAGCTGACTCTTCCTTTCTCTCTCATCCCCCTCTCTCTCTCTTTCATTCTCTCTCTTTCTCTTGTTCAACCTGAATATTGGATATCAATAACAACAGCCGAGGCTGACATCGAGAGCTTTTGTTCATTCACTTCATTCGCGAATGGGGTATGGTCACAGTGGTGCTGTTCCTTGCTGGAGGACAATACGGGGTGTGTCAGGCAGCACGAACTTTTTCTGGATCGCAAATATTAAACCAAGAGAAATGTATTTTGTATGTGACGCATCGATAATTCTTGATTTACCAATTTTTAAAAATGTCCTGACATGTTATAAATAGAAAAAAAGTTTAAATCACCTATGCATAATTTTCCTTGTGTGATATAATTTTAATTTAAAGTTTTAATTATTTCAGTAAAGATTAAAAAGTCGGGGAAAATCATTATTTGACAGAATTTAATTTCATAAAATTGCTAACGAGAAAAATCCATGTCGAACAAACTTTTATGACATAATTCACATTTTTTGTAAGATGTATTTTTATTAATGCATCTTTGATTAATTTGTTAGATCAATAATTTCGATAATCTTTTTATCGTATGACAAACGCGGAATAACTAAGACACTCTATAGATTCGAATAAAGTAACTTGCTTACGGAAGTAGAAGACGAACAGTTGTCGGAAGAGAGCAATCGAAGGAAACTGGGCAATTCTGAGCGTCTGTTGAGAGAAGACTATGGTGTAAGACCCGAGTAAGTTTGTAATAACCATGTCAAATAATTGAACGACCGAGATGAAGGAGGTATGCAGCATTTATAGTGTTTCGAAGTTATCACCTTCCAAGTAGAATTGCTGCTCGCAGAGAAACGCAACTCGATTCGTTTAATGTTGCACCCCGTAGAAGTAAACTCAATTAAATACTATCATCTAACTCGTTTGATGGTGCGCGAGATTTTCAAGGGAGGAATCCATCTTTGAGAATATGTAATTCGTGCGATTTTAAGTGGATGATAAATGGATAATAAATCCGGTTACACAAAATTACGGCGATCTTGATAAAACAGACGCCATGAAGAAATTTTAGAAGTTAAATGAAGGAGCAGATATATTAATTATTATTATTACTGTTACTTTTATCATATCATTAAATAAAATATTGTAACAGTATAAGAATTCCAATTTGTTTATTTTTTATTTTATCTGAATAATTTGTCAAACTTTCATAATTTTTTATCAAAAAATATGAAACGGAACAAATATTTACGTACCTTGTTTTTCTTCAAATCTCTACACTATTGTATTTTTAAAATCCAAGTTTCCCTGTTTTGTGTGTATGTGTGTCGAATAATACGCAAGCAATAAATAATAATCGATCCAAGAATAAATAATTTCGCAAAAATGCAGTACGCTTCGCTCGTCCGTGCGCGGACATCCGGCTAGATCTCGCGCAATGTGGCAAAAGGCGAGCCCGGGCGATAAACTCCCATGACAAACAAGTACCGGCATTCGAGCGATATATCATGCGGCGGCGAGTCATAAACGCGAAACTTTCGCAAAAACGGTGAGCGTTCGCAAAATGTCTCGGTGCAGCTAACTACGACGGCTGCGTTGCGGCGGCCGAGGGTCACTGTACTATATATTATACGTAATATCATCGAAGTTGGTAATGAATCACGGTGGATGGGCGGACGAAACCATCCAGCGCGGCCGACATTAGCTCGCGCGAGTTAACTCAGTTAACCAGCAACTTTGATCTGCGATTCCGAATGAACTATCTAGTCTCCGCCGCTCCATCCGGCGCTCCGATTTGCAAGGCCGGGCACTCGGAGATTCCATTACAAACAACGACAGCCGGATCAATATTTAAATTCCTAATGGCTCCCGATGGACGTGATCGCGAAACGCAGATCGCTTGATAAAATGTGTCAAGTTGCCGAATCCATTTTCATCAAGAGTGCAAGTTTCGCCAGGAAGTGGATGAGAAGCAGACAATGTACTTACCAAAACACGTAGAAGTACGTCACGAAATTGTACTTAGAGCCCAATCAAGAGTCCACCTAAAAAGAAAAAAGACACTTATTGTAACGAAAAATTACAAAAATACAAAAAAAAAAAAGATAAATTAAGAAATAAGACATGATATAAAAAAGTAAAAAAAAATAAATTTTTCAACCTAATAAAATTTATCGATAAGCGAAGATCAAGAGTTGGAGTGCACTTAAATTCGAAAAAAAGAGGTGCAATACGTTTGAATGAGAATCGATAGATTTTTTTTCGATATTTTTTCTCCATCGAGTGAAAAATCACCCTCTCTCGGATGAACAAAAATGTTAGATTAGAGGCGGAAACATGCTGTGGTGAACTCGGGGATGATGTTGCAACGACAAAGGCCGTCGCGTCGGCTCGGTAATAAAGACGGCGAATTAAGGATCCCGGCATGTAAATTGTCGTTGATATGATTTACCGGCAATTTGAATGAAGAGCGTGCACGGGCCATGATGTCGGTTAGCATAGATTTGAATAAATTGTGAGTTACTACGACGTCATTAAGCTCAGCGAATCTTTTTGCAAGCTACTTGTACGAGTGAATACCCCGTAGTTATTATCGAGCTGTTCTCTCCCATTTTCCTCTTTATTTTTTTTTTATGCCAAAATTTTGATTCTCTTTCTAAAAAAGGCACGTTATTTATTCTCGAACGTATCGAAGAATTGTTGCCTTTAATCCGCGATGCCGATTGGTGCCGTCATAGCGTTTAATTCGTGAGCGGCCGTCATTGCGTATTTTGACAGTTGTATGTAAAAAAGTAATTTTTTCTAGATTTTTTTCCCTAGAAGTAATTTCTATTATGTTTTAAACTTTGATTCGCCGAGTTTTTACCATGTACAATACATAAGTATTCTTGAATCTCTATTATGCGTTATAATTTCAATTCGTCAAATTTCTATTGTGTGCATAAATTCAATTGGCTGAATTTCTATTAGGTACAATTTCAGTTATTTACATAATAGAAATACGGCGAATCTGAGTTATGTGCATAATAGAAATTCAAGAAATTCGGGAATTAGAGTTATGAACATAATTGAAATTCGGCGAATTAAAATTATGTACACTCGCGGAGTAAAAATTTGTTTAGCGCGCGCTTGTGTTATGTAGTAAAATAAAAATCACATCCCAAATAAATGTACCGTGTTTTATTATTATTATTATTGGTTTTAATGTTTTGTTTCGATGAATCAATATAGAAGCGATTATAAATTCGATAAAATCTATTGATTATCACATAAATTATGTGTAATGTGTTTCCTATTTACATTACGTAAACGTGTTTATATTGCACGTATTTAAATCTGGAAAATAATAATAATCGACACATAATATCATTCCACATGTCAAAAAAATATATTTTGAGATAAATAAAATTATCACAAGTTTGCTATTTTAATTATCTTGGTTGAAATATGTATATATTAATAAATTCTAAGGATGTAATAATTATTACATCCTATAGATTAATCTATATATTTTTCTATTTCGTAGTTTTTCATACATAGATATAATTCTATATATAATTATATAATTTTATATATGTATAGTCTACATTTTTATTTCATAGCTCGTTTTTACTCCAGCATCAACGACGTACGTTTTTTTTTTTTTAATTTGCAAAGAGAGGTTAAGAATCCGCTAGCGATAGTCTATATATAATTCTTATATATTCAAGCTTTTAATTTCGTAGCAAAATAAGTATTTTTTTCTCTTTCTTTTTATGAGACACGTTGCTTAAATAAAAATGAAATAATTCGAGTCTCGTTATCTAAAAGTGTGATAAAATCACACATTTGCGGGCTTTTAAAACTCCACTGCTGTATCGCTAGAGAGCTTAAATGCCATCACGGTTACGTGGCACGCGTTGCTCTCGACGAAGGATTGGACTAGACAGACGGATGAAGGCTGGAGTTAGCCATCGTTCCGAGGTGGAATTGTGCGTGGATCAATAAATCGCGCGGACGGGAACGTTCGAATACGGCGAATAAAGAGAATCGGCCAGAAACGACAGCGCGATTTCGTCGGCCAAGACGCGGGACCAGCGATGATTCGCGATTTGCGCAATGACCTATTTAAATTCGAAGCCCAGTTTAATCCTTCTTACGAATCGTTCCGTAAATCGATTAACTCGCGAACGCCATTATGAGACTCCGGATTGGAATTCTTCCATGGTAATACCAATTATCGTTCGATCAGCTCTCTCTCTTTCGCGTAACAATCGGATTAAATTAAGGGTCGATCGATGGAATATCGAAGCGAGAAATAAGAATTTTATTCACGCCGAGATCTATCATATAGGTTAAATTAAAAAGGGAGGAATAAAAAGGTTTGAAAAAAAATTGTCGATTTTTATTTCTATATAAAAGCTCAATATGGTTAACAGTGAAAGAACGTGACACGATTGCGTATGGAGAAAATTACTTTGTTGCATCAGTAGTAATCAAGGACTTGTTAGGACGCGGGAAATTAAATTGTGTATAAAAAAAGAGCGCAACGCGCAAGTCAAATATTTATAGTGAAAAATTGGCTTTAAATTTTGGTAACTGAAATTTACATCTCTCTATTACGGCGATGTTTTGATAATTTTATGCAAATAACTTCTCGAATATCTGCGAGGCGGCAATTTTCCTACAGAAACGGAGCGCGCTTTGAAGGAGAGGAGAAAGGTCGCTGTAATTTTCATACGCTCGTGCGTTACACGTTACACGATCGTTACATTGTGAGACACGCCGCAAACCATCTCACCCATATGATTGTTCCATGATAAATTGCAACGAGAGTGCTCGCTCGATCATTTTACGAAGCTTAGAAACCAATTAGCTGTGATCCTGGTATTTTCGCGACAACTCGGCGCCGCATAAAGGCTCCCTTTAATAAGAGAACTATATACGTAATCGTGCTCTCGGAAACCCGGTGCGGTTGTTTCGGGAATATCATATATACGTAACATATCGCTGCATCATTGAAAATTGCATCCTGAAAAATGCGAACCTACTTCGTCGGCAAAAAATGTCATTTCAAAAAATGAAATAAAATATTCGAAGAGTCTTAAAATATTTTTGTATAAATTATCTATCTTTCTTTTTTGCTCTTTTTTTATTCAATATATAAAAGCACGAGAGAGAGAGAAAAGGGGAATTTTTACGGGACACTTATTTATACAGTTGAGGGTGATGAATAAATATAATCCGTACACTTTCTATGCGACAAATGTGTGAAAGTTGCGCGTACGTGTGTACGCGTTATATTTACTGTACATCATCTTTCAGGTGAACTCCCCTCTATTGCGGTTTCCGCTTGTATCCTCGACGGATCCCCGCGGAACAGTGTGTGCGAAATTGCACCGCGTTGCATTATTACGCGGATTCGCTTTTGCAGTCAACAGTCGCCTCCCTTCTCTACTCGGCTTCGTTAGATTCAACTTCGCCGACGTACGGCGTGTCCCGACCCTCATCAGAAACGTTATGTACTCGTGTCTGTATTCCGATGGGAAGCTGTAACTCTTGCTTCGACGAATTTACAGCGACACGACAATATATACACAGAGCGAGACGTATAAACTTGATGTATGTACTACATTTAACTCTTGGCGGTATATCATAAAATCATGCAAAAACACTGCTATTTTAACAATAAAGCTTGATACACGAGCGATGATAAAATGTCAGTTAAATAGACACAGCGGGTGTAATATTTCGTACTCGACGTAATCGAGAAGAATAATATTGCTTTTATACGAACAAAAACTTGTATTTCTTATATATATAGTTCTACAGTGTAATATAATTCAGAATATAAACTGTTTCGAATTAAATGAAATTAAATTTAAATACGACTCGACGTAGAATATCTATTAAATTAAATTTGAGTTTTATCGTAATTTTTGGCTTGGATCGTGTCGCATTTAAATTTAATTTCATGTTTATAGAAGGTACACAGGTAGAGATCTATGAGGTGGATAGATCGGGATTAATCCAACGAGAGGACGCGGCGAGAATAGGTCGTGGATCAACGAGATGTTACAGTCGATGCGAATAATAACAAGATGATGAGAAAACGAGCCGAGACGAGAATATAGAGGAACAGGAGCTTCATTTGCATGGGAAAGGAGAAGGACTACGTATCTCTTCCTCGCCTGACCCAATAATACGCAACTGGCCAACCAAACGGTCCAAATTCAATTCAATTACGTGAATGTAGTCGAACGCGATCGCTAATTCAAGCCCGGGGACAAGCGAAACATAATAACTAAATAGGAGCTTCTCTATATCTAGTTGTTCTCTAAGATCTTGATAAATATATATATATGTTTCTATTATAGATTCACACCTTAATGTAATATTTTATATATTAATCATTTATTTTAAACTTGAGATTTTTATAATATTTTATAAAATATATTTATAATAATATAATAAATTTATATAATATATAAGATATTATATAATATGATATAGATATATATCTTTTCATAATACCATGAAATCGTATAAATTTATTTTAAACTTGAGATTTTTATAATATTCTATAGAATATATCTATAATATAATTATAATAAATTTATATAATATATAAGATATTATCTTTTCATAATACCATGAAATCGTATAAATTTATTTTAAACTCGAGATTTTTATAATATTCTATAGAATATATTTATAATATATAATATATAAGATGTTACATTAAATGTGAATCTATAATAGAAACGCATTGAGGATAGAACATTATCCTAATTATTTCCTATATATTCCTAAACTTCCTCTATTCTCTATCTATCTTTTCGTAATAAGAAAAAATAATAAGAATTGATTCTCCGAATCGCATTCTTCTGTATTTCGCGCAAGATTAACGCAACACAGAGCTAGGAAATCTCACGAATGAAGTTCAAATCCAGACCTCGGAGCTATTTCAACCGCGACTATAGACGAGCCACGAACGAATGGAAGTACTCAATTAATCCGACGTAGGCATTGCAAACTGGCCTGGGCTATTATGGAGAAGCATAGA